CACTGCAGCTCTGCTAAGGGATCTGAGAAGTACTTAGCTCCATCCCTGGTGATTGCTTCAGGTACTGGACTATGGCTGCATTGTGGAGCAGTCCCAGATATCTGCCCAGAATTAGTCTCAGTCCCTTAGCCTGCTGGAAAAGCAAAGAGGTCTGGAATATGAGTTCAGGACTGAGGGGATAGTTGAAAACCAGCTCCTTCTTTTGTTCTGACTTCATGGCTCATGTGCAGCACAGTCACATTAAAAAAGGGTACGTAATTTCTCATCATTGTAGAGATTGGAAAAATGTAATACCCTGAGCCAAAGTGACTTACCCCCATAAGGAAAGCATAAGAACAGCACCAGCTTAGAATGCTGACAAACCTAGCCCAATGTACAGAAAACAGTGCAAGATGTGTATAAGATTGTGGCTAATATAAATTTCATAAAAAATAAATTGAAGACTTTGTGTGAAGCACAAATCACACAAAGACATTGTATTTTTCTTTTTTGTATAGTATGATATTTCTTTGTTTTGCCCTGATGTATTTAGTTAATGGTAGAACCCCTTTGGAGTTTGCCATATAAGAAAGAAGCCCATAAAATCATATAGGTTTCTGTAGTCACTGCTCAAGACTCACAAACTTCATTCCTCTGCCACTTGAAGTAAATTTAGCCTGAGATTTTTGTTCTGTGATGATTCTCGTGGGCTGTGAACTTGGTGCTTGCCACACTAACAACAATCCTTTATGTCTCCAGACTCTATCCATGTTCCTTGTTAACCTTCAGTCACAAAGTAATGAGATGCATCAGACACTGTGAAGCTGGCCTAAGGGGTTACAAATTTGGATGAGGGCCACATACTGTACTAATTGCTTCTAATAAATTACATATTTCAGGAGGGACATCATGATTTTAATCATTTATTCTGCACGTTGTTTCCTTTGGAGAGAAGAACAAGGCGACACTAAACAAGCCCAGCATCTGAAATTCATGGCAGAGACTAGAAAGAGCTCATTTAATAACAACCATCATTGTAAATACTAGAATTATGCATGTATCAAATCCCTGGGTCTGAACACTGTGGGAAGAGCCAGTGAGTCCTGGTTGTTTTAATGAGCCAAGCCAAAATTATGTTGTTGGATGTTCCTTAGATTTATAACAACTCAGACTTAACCCCATTTCAAATTCTGTAGTTAGGACCTAGCTGAAGAAAAAGTCTTTGCTTGTCTGCAAAGAAAAACACATTAAGAGGTGAATTTAAAAGATGAATTCTCCCAAGGAGTAGGGGAAAAACAGAATCAAAGGTACCTTTCACCTTGGTGGGATAGGACCTTAATTATGATCTGATTGTAATTATGAGCTAATTGTGAAAGTGAACACAGAAAGCAGCAAGAGTTTTCTGTAAAGCCCACTGAAATTAGTAGGATCTTGATGATGAGCCCACCAGCCTCCTGCAGGGTGAAGTCAGATGAGGAAAGGTTTCCTATTTCCCTGACCTCTAGCACACCCACACCAGTGGGCTCACTGTTAATAAAATCCTCAAACCACTCGGGAATGAGCACTTCCTTCTCAAGGGAAGACCTTGATGGTATTTAAATAGCTGCTAGTATTAATAGCAAAGGCTGGTAGATAATGTGGAGACTTGTGAGCTCTGGGGAGCAATGCAGGTTTGGGAACAGCTCAGTCTGTCTTATGTTTGTCTTTGTAAACCTAGTTTCCTGTCACTCCAGTCTGTGTTTCCTTTCAAGTATGAGCTGATATACCAAACAAAATGTGATTATCTAGGCAAAAGGAAAACTGTCTTGGTACAAAGTATGGCTTCGATGGGAAGCTGCAGATGTAGCTCCGAGACTCAAATGTGCTCTTTTAATTTTCAGGTGGTAATGAGATGCCAAGGAAGTACCATTACCAGGGATAAGTGCAGTCTGAGCTGCTCCTCTCTACTTTAGAGGGTTTTTATCCCATTTCAAACTTGTCTGGAGAGTGTCTGTGTGGGTATGGGAGGGGAAATCATGAGAATCCAGCACACCTTCCAAGGGCTCCTCTGGCTCCCCAACCAGAATAATGAAGATATCTTTAAGGATGCCATTCATGGATGAATGGATATTTTTGCTAAAACAGCTGGACATCTGCTTTGATACAAAGGAAAAGGCCTAAAGGATTCTTCTTTATTTTGTCATACAGAATGAGAAGCAGATCAGTTAGTAGCAAGCCTTAAGCAACGAGAATTAACTGAAAAATATTGCCCTGTGTAGAACTGGTGACTTCTAATTGAGACACCTTCCCCTGGCTCTTCTTATGGTGTTCTTCATAGGGAGGTACAAGACAACTTCTGCACATGAAGAAGATCTTAAAATGAAAGGAGAAAGTGATGGGGATTCAAGCTTAACACAATGGCACACTGGAAGTTGGGGAAGGAAGAGAGAATCTGAAGTTTGGACCTAAACGCCCAAGAGTAAAGAAAGAATGGAGGGACACAGACAAAACAGAAGTGATGAACTCAGGACAACAGAAAAATTAACTAGATTCTCAAGCATGAGATAAACGTAACACTGATGTGGAACAGTGTAAGCTTAGTAAAATTGAAAGTTTAGCCTATGACATTACAGCTGACATGAAATAGAGAAGCAGTTTTAACCTTCCTAATGTTCAGCATTTCATTAGTTATTATTACTATCCTCAGGCAAAAGGTTTTGATATACCTGGAAAATAACATGAGAAGAGGTAAAACATAACATACTGAAAATATTATGAATTCAGTCTTCGGATTCTGACTTTTGCTAACATTACACACAGTGTAAGAGTACAGAACTAACAAACACTGCTGTAGCAGAGTTAGCAAAAGAAATAATTTTGAAAGCAAAATGAAAATTCTCTTTGCCATCCATTAGGCATAGTAATACAATTCTAGCAGGAACTGAGCTGTTATCTGGTTTGCTGTCTGATTTGCTCTCCAGATTACCACCTAAATCAATAGCTCTTACATTGATTTTTCCAACACGCTGTATTCCAGTAAAAAGAACAATGCTCTGAGATGAGTCAGCTATTTGCTACGTCTGCAGGGACTCTGGTGCAATTTTGTTTAGGAAAATAAAAGCAGAAGCCAAAGTACACACATATATATAGTGATAAGAACCTGCCTGTTGCTTGCACCCTAACCTGACACTGTCTCTGCAGACACATGGGTTTGCCACAGCTCGCTAGAAAAACTACAGGCCTGCCTCAAGACAGATCAAGCCACGGAATGGGTGGAACCAAAGTATTTGGGGGCAATGTCAGACAAATAGGAACACGGTCTTTCAGTTTAGGTGACTGCGATGGCAGAACAGGAAAGTATGCCCAGGTTTAACTAAGAAGCCATATACTTACTATCACACATAAATCACCAGCAGTACTGCACTTTCATATATTTATTTCATAGATTTTCACATATTTGCATATTCCATATAACAAGTACTATAGTCATGGTACAGTACTGAGAGATATTCATCATCCAGAATGTCATTCTTTACTGTATATTGAAGACTACCCTGTGAGTACACCAAGGGAGAAATAGCACACAGGGCAAACGTGCACAAAGCTGAGTGAATAGTGTGAAATCATTTAGCCCACTATTCTGAAAATATTGCTGAATATTGCAAACTACTATAAAACTAGACTTATTTAAATCATTACAAAACTTTTACAAAATTCTGCATTTCATGGTAATGCTTCCACAGCATTGTGTATTTTGGATTGCTATTTTTTTCCTCCTAATCTCTTAGTCTAAACGAAATAACATTCATGTTTTCTTAGCAATGAAGAGGAAGGAATAATGAATTTTCTACTCCAAGACTTTTTAAAATAAAAAGGACAGTATTTGTGACAGTTTAGTATGTTTAGTACGTTGGAGCAATCCAAGTGGCTTACAAGTAGGGTTACCAACTTCCAGGTGTCCACCCATGTATCTAGCTGTACCGTGCAGTTTAGGGTGTTAATGTGTACAGGAGAGGTGTTTTGTTCTTTGCTTTCTTCTGTGTATGAGATATTTCAGATCAGTTATGAGCTGTCTTTCCTACTAGAAAATCTATTCCCTGTGAATAAGGTTGATGGAGGAGCAAAGTATGCCAGGCAATTCCCCAAACTTCAACAATGGTAAAACTGAGGAGGCTGCAGTCCTTGAGAGGAGCTATGAGGACCTATATTACAGAGCACTTCATTTACACATGATTTAGTTTAGGCTCACGGAGCAAAATAATACAGCAGTGAGATCAATAGGTGTTATTGCTACTCATGCAAAGATTCTTCCTTCCATAAATTATTACAATTGACTATAATAGTTATTTCTAATAACCAATAAAAAAACTTCAGCCCATATTGACAGACAGATAGCAAGTCTTGTGCAGCACCTGGGTGATGTTTTCACAGTTGCTGAGTTCTGGAGAACTGAAGCTACAGAATGACAGCCATAGAACTGGCTGTTACAGTGAATTACCTAACGACAGGGTTCACTCTACAGATCAGATATTCTATTGTGCTGAGCTGAAGGAATGGAAACAGATGATACTCATAATATATCCAGAGACACCTGTCAAGACTGGCTTTGGTCTGCAGTCTGGAAATGGTCCTATACTGAAACGTGCTGGTCTGAAGAGCTGATGAATTGCCACAGATCTCACCTACCTGCAAGCATTTGCAGGTCCAACTCTGTTCAGTCATTGGAGAAAAAAGACCTAGATAGAGCTGCCTGATTGCAGCTAATACTCTGCTGCTTTTATGTTCATTCCTGAAAAGCTCATAAGCCCTCTAAACATTTACTGAGATTTCTCATGACAGGTAAGGCTTCATGCTCCCTGTGTTGATTCTGTGTTCAAGGGAGATAAGTTTGAACTTCTCAGTGCGTGTGCTGTGCTACTCATGGGCACACGGGGCCACAGCTCATCCCCGGGTGTCCTCTGCACGCAGGAGAGGACAAAGCTGCCACATGTAACGGGGAAAGGAGTGTGCTGCTGGGTGCAGGGACAGTACCTGGACAGTACCTTTGAGGGCAGGCGGGGTGTACACGCTCTGCTTCCTTTGCTTTGGCGAGGCGCTCTGGGACTGGCGATTCAAAAGAGAGAGAGAGATGGTGAGAGACCGAGGTGGAGAGAGCCTTCCATGCGTGGCAACTCAGTCTTGCCACGCAACATTTCCCTCTTGTTATGTGAAAAATGTAGCAACAAATGCAAATTCTTGTTTCGTATTTGAAATCACTCTGGGTGCTTGCCAGTGTAAGTGGTACACCCTTATGGCCACAGTAGGGTGGGACTGAAACAACTCCTGAGTACATGCAAGCAGTGATGGGCAATTTGTAATATCCTGCAATGCTCTGCATTGCTTCAAGTTTAGAGGGTGAATATATCACTCTGAGAAGTTTCTATGAAAATGATACTCTATAAACCTGATGCCAGTTCCTGGCAACTTTTATAGTTCCCAGGCAAAACAGACCCAATATTACTGAAAATTCATTGTAAAAAAATATTGTTAAGCATAAAATTAAGGTAGCCTGTGCTTTTAACAGTCTATGTAGCTGACTCTCATAAGGTAAATAAATAATTTATATATTAAAATAATGCAAGATTTACTTTAATTAATATGCCAACTAAACACAGTATAAAGAATGATTCTGTGTATAAGTAAGGTAATACTGAAATTCTTAATACATACATTTTTACATAAGTAAATGGAAGATCCTTCTCTCTGCACTTTTACAGTATATTACTCCCTAAATAATTGCATTAACCACTCTGCCTTTAGCTAGGCCTGTTTTAAGTGGTATCTTTAGACACAGTTAAACTTTTTTGACCCCAAAATCGCACCCATGTATGAAAGATGAATTATTCTAAACTAACAGGAAAATTACATACAATATATGTAATTTTAAAAAATTAAATACAGAGTATAATTTTTAAAAATTATATATGGAATAACAGAAGTGTAATTAGTCCAATGTACAGTTAACAAAAACTGACTGAAATATATTCCAGTGGTAAGGCAGTGCAACTTCTGCAGAATTAAGGCAGTTAAATTGGTGTTTATGTAATATAGAATATCTCTATAAACAAATGACAATAAAACAAAATAATATTTCACATGTGGCTAATTTTTGAAGACATAAGCACCACGTTACATTCCCAAGAAAAATATAAAAAAAGCTGTGCCTAAGCAAGCTTTATTTTCTCTCATCAATTTCTCGTAGTGTTTTTGCTCATAATGATGCTGTCTTTTCCCAGATATTTGATCAAAATGTCTCCTACTTTTCCCCTGAGTACTTCTTATATCGTCAGGTACTTTTAATCAGATCTCTCTCTTCAAGGAACATCTGAGACAGCTCTTAAGAAAAACACTTCCACACGAATACAGCCAATCATATTACCTTATCACAATGGATGGAGTGATAACATTTATAAATAAAAGATTGTCTTCTTTTGAAAAAGCAAGCTATTTATAAACACTGTGGGGTAGGTTGTTGATCCTCACCCCAGTGAATCACTGTAAGTCTGTGTTTGAGTCCAAATCTAAAACAATCAATACCTCCTGCTGCTATTTAGAGCTTTGCCAGCTTCTCTGGGCAATCAGGGGAGGAGAAAGTGGTCAAGGAGCTGCAGGAGCTATGCAAGGGGAGATCAGAAAATGAGACTGGAGGAGATGGCTTTCAGCTGTCCTGCAGACAGCACCGATCCTGTGCCTGCCACGGGCTTGGCAAGCTACAGCAAGGGGGGAGTTTGCAGTGGTTTTGCAGCCCCACTGCCAGTGCTGGCTGGGACGAGTTGGCAGGGCCACCTTGGACCAGGTCGACTTTGTTTTGAGTGAACAGGGGCAGAGAGGAAATGTGCCTTGGCAGCTCCCTGCTCTAGGGGACTGGCTGTGCTGCTGGAGGTGGGGTGACAGCACAAAGACAGACATCAGCTGGGACAGACCAGTAGGCCACAATGGGGTTTTTACAGGAGATCTATTTTAACAGTAAATACATTGTAAGAAAAAAAATGTTTCACTTACTTCTGCCTGTGAGATGTTTGTTCTCTTCTCATCTTTTTCTAGAAGAGGAAAAGATAGAAAAAGAGAAAAGTTAGTACAAAAGACTTTCTCTGTGTGAAGTATTGCAGCTCTGCCCTGCACCCTACAGCACCACTGTAAATAAGAAATTTCCTTTTTGATTTACAGCTTGTTTGTGTACCTCAGAATTCCAGAGGCCCTGATTACCGTTTAGACATGAGCACTGTGTCTAGAGCCCTTCACTCACATGTTTTGACTGTGAACTGACAAGTAGTGGTGTGTGGTCAGCACCCGGCCCTTTGGCTGGGCTGGCAGTAGGGCTCCATGCTTGAGTGGCCGTGAGGACCCAGGGCTGCTCTGCCCAGGCCCTGCTCTCTCCCATTTCTCCAGAAAAGCAGGCTTACCAAGGCCTGGTAGGTTGCAGTAAGCCTCAACAAGAACTCTACCTCCATTCAGCTGTTAATACACTAGCAATGACACTCAAGAGCACCTAACAGTAAGATGCAAAACCAGCAAACCAAAGCGTAACTAAGTCTAGTCTTTCATCTTAAAAAAACACTGGTGTAGTGTTGGAAATGGCTGTGAAATATTTCCTGGTACTGCTTGCTTTTGTTGCTTTAGTTTGCTCTTGAGCATAGGCATGGAAGAAATAGTGAATGCTAGAGATTTCTAATGGAAAAAGCACCTCTGAAAACCTAGCTGAAAAACTAAATGAAATTGCATGAAGCAGAGGAGCCAAGGATCTTCCTAACCATAACACTAAATCAGTTTGTGCATCAGATAAAATTATTTTTCCAGTGTTATCTTGATATGGTTAATGGTCAAAAAGTGTGTCTTCTGAGGATGATTTCCCAAATATTTGACAAAGATCATATGGGATCTTTGATGCACAATAATTTGGAGCTCTAAAATTTAAGTGTCTCTTAAAGACAGACATCATTGTCTAATTGTGCCACCACGCCTTACAAATTTTTCCACGTGCAGATACCACTGTGCAATTTCTTCTGAAGGAAGAACTAGGTCTGTGTAACATCACTTCATCCAGCTTAGTCTCTATGTATTGGCTGCTGGTGGTGTGCTGTGTGTGAAGAGGAGAGCCAGTCCAGGCAGACTGTCTGCATTTCCTGTTGTGCTCTTTACCCTCATGTCCAGGCATCTTGCAAATATTAATTGACTTAGTGGGTTTACTCAAAGTATGGATTTGCCATTATATTAGAGACATCCAAATGACTTACACTCCAGGCTAAAATATGTGGTTCAAAACAGAGCTGATTACTCCAGTGTGGTCCCAAAGATACGGAATTAGACAAGACAATCAGGAGGCCAGTTCCTGCCATTGACATTTGCATGACCTTGGGTAGATGACTAATCTCTTCCTTGACTTCCCTACCTGTAAATAACGATTGCAGTACCTAGTATCCTTTTAAAGCACTTTGGAGCATGAAGATAGGCTGGCTAAATGGGTGATTATTTAAGTGTTTGTAATCCTTCATATTGATAGCATAACAGAGAGACACAGACTTCAATGACTCAACATTTGATTTTTTTTTAGCTGAGAATCCTGGATTTAGCTCAGAGGTGGAAAATTGAATAAATCAGGAACTAAGGGCAAGGAACAATGAAAAGTAAGTCATGTCCCATTACTTCTTGAAACTCTAAGCTTGTCCAAATTCAAAGTATTTTTGGTAAACTCAGGCTGAGACTTGCACAAGGAAAGAAAGCTGCAGTCAGCAGCTTTGTCAGGTTTCAGGTCTTGTTTCTAAGGATTTGCATTTCTCTAACCCTTTGCACTTGCACTTTTAGTGTTCCTCTTAGTGGGGTGACATTAAACCTACCAGAACTGGAAAGTTTCCAGCCTTTCTTTTCATCCAGCAGCCTTTATATGAGGATAATTTTGTGAACAAAAACTGGTCCTGTATGGAGCTACAAATCATTTATATCCACAGGGCAAGGAATGACAATAAACAGCATTAAACTGTGGAAATTCAAGAATGACTTACAAAAACACAAAAACAGTTTTTCAAATCCAATAGATATCAGAAATGAACCTGACACACCAAATGAAACAAACTTGAAGCAGCAGGTGTGAAGTGTTTTACATGAGTTGTGAGATAAAAGGGAAGACAGAGATGGTTGGAGGTATGTTTTGGTCAATGGTACATTTTGGTAGACATTCATTTTAAAGACAGAAAGGGTACTCTGCATGCTTGTTCTGATTAAAAAAAAAAAAAAAAAAGTCAATGGAGAATACAGATCTTTAAGGAGAGGCAATGAAGAATAGGAACAAGGGAAGCTGAGATCACTGTATGTCATAGACCAAGGCAGGGAATAGAAAATAAACAAAAATTTTCAACAAAAAAACTGCACATAGAGGAGAAGGAAAAGACGTAAAGCAAGGAAGATAGAGCAAGAAGAGAGCAGCACTTCTTCTATGCATGCAGCTAAGGTAGTGATGGGAGACATGGGTAGTGGGTTGTAGCAGAAGCCAGGGGAGAAATTTAGAGATGACAGAGAGCAGAGCAGGAGGGCAATGTGCGCTGGAGCTCGACCAAGAGCACCCTGTCCAGGGCAATAGTTTGAGCTATACTGGTGTAACTGAAGGGTTGCAATTATATTTGTATGAACACTCTTCCTTGGATAGAAATAGTATTTTCCCAGTGTAAATTACATTGCTTTGAAAGCAGTTTAAATAATGTTTAATGTAGCAGTTTAAATAATGTCGTGAAAGCATATTCTTAATAAGAGAGTGTCCACCAGAGACACACGGGTGCACACAGATGCTCTCACTACATCAGGTTGGTTCTGGCATGAGAAGAAATCTCAGAAACAACAAAATTTGTGATGGGAATGGATGGTATAAGGTAATAAAGAACATGATCAGTCAGCTGCTGTGACTGAGACGTACCCACATAACAGAAATCAAATGATATTTCCCACCCTTACATCCCTGTTAAATCCATTGACAATTAGAAACTGAATTTCTTTACTAAAATCTTTGAACATAAATTCTTCTTGAGAGGGGTGAGGAAATGATCTGAAACTAAACAGACTTGATTCACAAGGGAGAATGAAATCCCTTGTTTCTCAGTGTCCTTCAGTTCCCATTGACTATTGTGCACACTTCTACTCACAAAAAAACACCATATATTTATACAGAACAAGTAATTTCCTTTTCTTGTTTATAACTAGGCAATTACACATGGAAAATTCAATTGATCAGGTATACTTGTGTCTTATATGAAATTAAACTCTTGGTTAGATAACTTCTCCCTACAGGTTCTCTTTCTGGGGCCAGGGAGACTGTTTAATGATGCTCCATTTTCTTCTCACAAACCATAACATTGCTCACAGAACACAATACTGCTCTGTTATACTCCAGATCTGAATATATGGCATTTTTCCAGTTTGACTTATTCTCAGCTGCCCTAATTAGCTAACTACAATCTAATACTCAAGTCATTTCTTGACAGCTTTTACGTTTTTGTTTTCAAGTGGTATGTTAGAAATCATATAAGAACTGAGAACAGATTTGTATTTACCCAAGTTACTGGAAAGTGGGGATTTGTCTCCCACATGCTCATGTTAGCTTAGCTTTTTTGAACATTTATTAGCACAGCCACCCAACCAAGCTGGCAGAATAATCTGAGCTACTCCAAGGGTGTCCTTACATGAAGTCAGAAGTAAGGTGGTGTTATCCGAGGTCAGACAGGATCAGAGCATATGGAAGCTGGCTATGGGCAGAATGACAACTGCCTAATGCAGCTCATCACTCTTCTTATGCATCTCCATTGCTGTGGAAACAGCAAGGACATGCCGAGGGAAACCCGATGGTCGCTTTCAAGATCAAAATTCATCTGCCCCTCTTCTCCCACTGGGTAATGTTAATGCACTTGCAGCAGTCATGCAGGGCAAGAGGTGATGTGTTTTAAAATATGTGGCCTCTGATATCACTCATGGACTCTGCAGTGGAGTCATCCAGCCACAGCTCATCTCATCCAGCTAAGTACCCTTCTTTCTTTCCTCTTGGCAAGAATAAATAAAAGCCTTTTCTGCAGTGTTTCAGTCAGAAACTGGAGGAACAGACCAGGTCAGAGAGGCTGGCTTTTACACAAGAGAAACTCAGTAAAAGGCTAGTGTAGTTGTTGGAGGAAGCGTTGTGTAGAGAGTTTGGAATTTTCCTTGGGAAAACAAAGATGTGGAGTTTCAGATAAAATCATAGGTGGTTGGTAGGGTTTTGGAATTATTATTATTATTATTATTATTATTATTGTCAGAGTATCTAAATTTCCCTTTAAAATAATAACTACAATAATTCTTTAATTGCTCAGATAGTGGAAATAATGCATGAGTCACATGCCTATAATAGATGTAAGTAAAAGAAAGTGTTAAACAAGAATGGTCTGAATCTCAGTGAAAGAAAGGGACAAGAAAGAGTTTAAGGACATGATGACATCAGTCTGGAGCCTGCTTACAGTCCTACCCCTGCACTGTGTCAATGGTACCACTGGAAAGAGCAAAGTAAATGAGCAGAGCTACTGACACAGCCTTTTGCATGCAGACTTCAGTGCAGGACACACCAAGCTATGGAGACAGAAATCAGGTGATGCTACAGCTGTGAAACAATTCTGCCAATTTTGTGAGTTTTTGTGAAGTGTCTCCATGGCGAAACACTACCATGCCTGTCAGCAAAGCTTTCTCTATTGAAAAATGTGAAAGAAATGAACCAACTGCTGACTTCTTATGAATATGATTGATGATGACATACAGTTTTGTAGGCAGAAAATTGAAACTCATTTTCCTGGCTCCGGCTCCACTTAGCCATCTCCTGAGATGGAGAGGAGGGTGGCTGTTGGCTCCAGGTGCAGGGGGTTGGTGTTCAGGCAGTGGGCAGCAGAAGCCTGCAAAACCTCAAAAACTTGCATTCAAATGGCACAAACAATTTCAGGAACCAAAAAAAGAAATGCATTATTTTTCAAATAATTCTTCATTCTCTTGCCACTTAGTGGCAGGTGAACCTGAAATTTTCCTAATATTTTGGTTT